GGCGAGATCTACAAAAAAATGCTGCTGCCGATATATGACAGAGGAATATCTAGAATACAGAATACGACCGAGGAACTCTGAAAATAGATATAGGGATGAAAGTAAAAGCGAGGAGCGAGGAAGTCATGAAGTGGTGAGATGGCAGAAGATCACTGAACATTTATTCGTGAATCACTAAAACCACAGCAGGTGCTCATAGGTGTGCTGTCTGACCTTCATCGACCAGGTGCATTCCCATGAGTACGACGGCTGTGTCACTAAATGTTCGCTGACCTATGTCACTGAACGCACAAAGTAGGTCCCTTCCCAGAGATATCGTGTATCCATTGTAGCCATTAGTATTTGAGGGCCCAAACATGACACCGTCGAATTTTCTGTTTGTTGCATTTCGACGCCGCAAACAACGAGCAGCTAGCTTATTTGGAAAACCGGTATTACAGAAATATGTCATAAAATTTCATATTAAGAACCCTTGTCAAAAGTGAACAATGCATGAAATTGCATCGTACTATCCAACGAACGATAAAATAGGTGTAATGTGCCTGCCAGTTCCGCTAGTTTAGACTTTATGGTTGCTGGTTGAGGCTATTTCCTACAGCACGTAACATCTGGTAGAAAGGGTGCCAAGATTGTTCTCGTTTACCACCCTTCCAAGAAAGAGTCATGGTCCTTGTTCTTCAGATAATTACCTTTACACTAGTAAATCAATCAAGGCGACGTAAATCTGCTTACGCGCACCTTCAGTGGTGAACTATTGCACATGTGGGGGAAATCGTGATTCTCTACATGAAGTGATACGTAACGCTAGACATAATGACGGATTCCGTCCTCTGCTCAGAAGGGTAGCGATATATTCATTTAATGATTTCAGACTAGCTATGATTCAGTTTAAATTTATTACGTCGGATATTTTCAGTTTCCACAGTCCAGTGGATGAGTAAGCCATATCTGAAAACACTCACATTCGTCCTTGAAGCGTCCATTACACATATACTACAAGGATGTGATCGTAACCTTCCATTTATCTGCAGTAGCATGTTATTTATAACTAGCCCATTAACCCAATGATAACCGATTGCCGTAAGATAGGAAAACCTCGAAGCATCATCCAGAACTTCTACGTCCTTGCTCAAGCGTAACCGCTGGGCGGGTAGAAGGTGCGACGAATGGACTATTAGGGATAATGAGTTCTGATCCTTCAATATGGATTCATAATTCATCGTTGCTCGTTCTCTATAACATGGGCGTCTAGGCTGAACTATGGAAAAAGATAAGATATGTAAACCCATTCAAAGTCTTTTCTTTATTCTACCACGTTTGTTGTGATAATAAATATTTTTCGAAAATTCGCTGAATCCCAGGCGATATATTACTTCTACGTATTAAATAAAATAAATATAAAAAACTTTCCTCCCTGACGAACTTTAATGCTGCTTTAACGAGCAGATAATAACGGTCCAAGGGAAGAATTCGAAACGTTCCATTCAGCTTTTCCTTGTCGTTGGTAAAAGTTGTATTACTGCAGTTTCTGCAGCTACCGCGTTACTTTCCCTTTCGTTTCTTCGACTTCCCCAGTATACGGTACTTTTTGTATTAATAGTGTAAATCAGAGGAAATCTGAGTTTTTAGTCCAGACAGGACTGTGTGCCGGTGACAGGCTCACGATCGCCTTCACTTATGATGGAAAGATAACACAACTTTTACCCTGCGGTTTACTGTCTGAGCAGGCAGCGACTAAATTCGGTAAAGCAAGAAAGGGAGGGGAAAAGAAACTGTACCATTTCTATAAATATTACTTAAATCCACTATGCGGATGCAGAGTTATTCATCGCAATGGTCTTTTAATGGTTCACTCAGTGCAGGGCCGACATTGGTAATGAACCGAGTCATCCTTCAGGTCGTAGATGGCATGGCATATTCGCCTGGCGAGGTCTGTACACCCAATTTAGCACTACTTCTGTAGTCCACTCTCTTTCGGGTTCGGAATGGCGGCAGATATTGACTTTCACAAAAAACGCCGTGACTGGTAAAAAAGAGGATAAAGCTGGCGTCTGGCCTTTCGATCGAAGAGGCCTAAAATCCTGCATCGCCTCATCAGCCTCTTTCGACATGATTTTGACACGTGCCGTAGTCGATGGCCCTTTGAAAAACAAACTTCAGCGCAATTGGTTGTTGAGAAGTCATGAGCCGTCCATGACCTGTTCGAACTGCCACGTGCGCACGTGTTCCACTACACCTTATAATGCCTAATGAGTAACACAAACAATGAACACTACAAGGAAGGTGGAGCGCACGCGCCTTTTCTTTCCCTGGTAGCGCCTGGTCCCCATCGCCGTTACCACCTACGACCGGTTTCAAGGTCGAGCGCGACGCACGTGTTGGCTGTGTCGGGGAAGTCAGGCGCGCGAATGGTGGTTTTTCAACGGGCGGTCCTCCACCACCGACCTGAACCTGGTGACGGGTCTTTGACACGGGTCGAAGACCCTTCTCATGGCCGAGCATCCGGAACACTTTCGCTTTCGGTCACGCGCAGGTCACCCTCCGTTGTTCTTCGTGTGGCACGTTGCTTGCTTGTGTTTGCTTATTAGTAATTAAGAACCGGCTGGCCGACTGGTCCTCAGATCCTGTTTCTCAGCGCACGCGTGAGCGGTTTCTGTTTGCCATCACCGGAATTATGCAGATGGCCGGATTTTGGGGGAAAACAAACAGAGGCAAACATCTTGTCGCGCATCGCCAACTTCCAACGCTCGCATCTGGCCAAACCGCGTCCACTTCCGAATGCGGCCAAACATGAGTTATGTCAGATGTTCAGGTTTCGTTTTCGCCGT